CGGACTCGTTATGGTCATTACGAGTTCGTGGTGATGCCGTTTGGGCTCACCAACGCGCCGGTAGTGTTCATGGACCTGATGAATCGGGTCTGCAGACCGATGCTTGATCGCTCGGTCATTGTGTTCATAGATGATATCTTGGTGTATTCCAAACCCGAGAGCAGCACGAAGCACCTTAGGGAGCTATTGGGAGTTTTGAGGCGAGAACGGCTTTATGCCAAGTTCTCGAAGTGTGAGTTTTGGTTGCGAGAGGTCCAGTTCCTTGGGCACCTCATTAACCAAGAGGGGATTTTGGTCGATCCGGCCAAAGTTGAGGCGGTTATGCAGTGGGAGATTCCGAAATCTCCCTCAGATATCAGGAGCTTCTTGGGATTAGCAGGGTACTACCGGAGATTCATTCGAGATTTCTCCAAGATTGCAGTACCCCTCACTCGTCTAACGAGGAAGGGGGTGGACTTCCGTGGGGCCCTGAGCAGCAGAGGGCATTTGAGACCCTCCGGCAGTGTTTTATGCGAGGCGCCAATGTTGACACTCCCCGAGGGAGTTGAGGATTTTGTGGTATTCTGTGATGCATCCATCACAGGTTTGGGGGCAGTCCTCATGCAGAGAGGACGAGTGATAGCATATGCATCGCGGCAGCTGAAGCCGCACGAGACGAGATACCCTACGCACAATTTGGAGTTGGGAGCGGTGGTATTCGCTCTCAAGATTTGGAGGCATTACCTTTATGGAGTCCGTTGTACCATATACACGGATCACAAGAGTTTGAGGCACATCATGGATCAGCCGAACCTGAATATGAGGCAGCGCAGGTGGCTGGATGTAGTCAAGGACTACGATTGCGAGATCCTTTACCACCCCGGTATAGCGAATGTGGTTGCGGGCGCTTTGAGCCGCAAGTCAGCTGGGTCTTCTACCTCAGCAAAATGCATGAGGATAGCGGTGGATTACCCCCTTGTGAGTTTGATTAGAGATGTCCAGGATGAGGGCATGCGGCCAGAGAACTGGAAGTTAGAAAAGGTCAAGGGCGAGAGCGCCCGGTTTGTTCAGGATAGCCGTGGATTATTGACCCGATACGGTCGGGTTTGGGTTCCGATGTCTGGTGGGGTCAAGCAAACAGTGATGGAGGAGGCTCATAAGTCTCATTTTTCCATACACCCGGGGTCCACCAAGATGTACCGCGATCTGAGTTTGAGTTACTGGTGGCCATGTATGAAGCGAGAAATCGCTTGGTATGTCGAGAGGTGCTTGACCTGTAGGATGGTCAAGGCCGAGCATCAGAGGCCGCATGGTAAGCTGCAGCCTCTAGAAATTCCCATGTGGAAATGGGAGCAGATCACGATGGACTTCATTACGAAGCTGCCGAGGACGGCGAAGGGGTTCGATGCTATATGGGTCATCGTGGATCGATTGACCAAGAGTGCCCATTTCTTGGCTATTCGGGAGAGTTTTTCGGCTGAGAAATTGGCCGACATGTACGTCTGCGAGATTGTCTCTCGCCATGGGGTTCCGGTCTCCATCGTTTCTGACCGGGATGTCAGGTTTACCTCCCGTTTCTGGCAGAAGTTCCATAAGGAACTGGGTACGCGCCTGCACCTTAGTACAACGTTTCATCCTCAGACCGACGGGCAAAGTGAGCGGACCATTCAGACCCTCGAGGATATGTTGAGGGCGTGTGCTCTTGACTTCGGAGGGAGTTGGGATTCCCATCTACCTCTTGTAGAGTTTGCTTACAACAACAGCTATCATTCCTGTATTGGCGCCCCACCTTTTGAGCTGTTGTATGGTCGGAAATGTAGAACCCCGATCTGTTGGGGTGAGGTTGGACACAGAGTGTTGGGTCGGACGGAGGTAGTTTTGCAGACTACCGAAAAGATCCAGCAGATTAGACAGCGACTACAGACCGCCCAGAGTCGACAAAAGAGTTACGCTGATAGACGCCGATCGGATTTGAAGTTTCAGGTTGATGATATGGTACTCTTGAAGGTCTCACCCTGGAAGGGCGTGATTCGCTTCAAAAAAAGGGGAAAATTGGGTCCCCGCTATATTGGGCCGTTCAGGGTCATCGCCAGGATTGGTAAAGTGGCGTACAGGCTGGAACTACCGGATGAGCTCAGCAGGATTCACAACACCTTTCACGTTTCGTAATTGCGAAAGTGCATTGTGGACCTGGAGGCAGTGGTGCCACTGGATGACATTCAGGTTGATGAGCGCCTGAATTATATTGAGAGGCCGGTTGCCGTTTTGGAAAGGAAAGTGAAAGTCATGCGCAACAAGGAGGTTCCATTGGTGAAGATACAATGGGAGCATCGGGGGGGATCCGAGTGGACATGGGAGTCGAGGCTGAGCGGAGCTTAGCAGACCCGAGTTATTCGCTACAGCAGACTTCGAGGACGAAGTCTAAATTAAGTGGGGGAGAATTGTAGCATCCCAACCGTCAGGT